TCCCTCAGAGTTTTGATTTAGAGTGTGAAGTAAAATGTCAGGGGTTGTTGGTAAAAGGATGAGATCGGTAAGCGAGCTAGAGAAACAAGAGTCTGATATATTGAAGGGTCGAGATATTTAGAATTTTGCATCATGGGAAGAATTTGAGAAAAGTGAAGGAATAAAACCTCTCGTATAAACCCATGGGGTGTAGTTGAGGGTTGTATTGATTTTTTTTCCTATGAGTTTAGATATGATTGTGAGATGTGAAGTGGATCGGTACAGACTTACTAGGAATTCATCATTGACTTTTATAAAGATTGAGTTTTGGTTTGGGTGACAAACAATGAGGTATGGAAAATTTAGAGTTTTACGTGGGGTTAGATTGCTCAAATTATGATAGATGACTTAAGAATGATGTACAAGGTGAGATATAATTCTACATTGTTAATAAGAATTTAGAGTTGGATAAATATTACTCTATTAATGGGACTACATAAAATGTTATGACGCGTTACATAAACATTTGATGGTGAATAGAGGTTATGAGATTATAGTATACAGAATAATTTGAGTGACCAAGAATTTTCCTAAGTGTTGGCATGAGGTATGTGATGGTTTAGAATGGTAGCTAAAGCATGATATGTGGAAGTGGTGTGAAGTTGACTTTGGGTGTGATTTAATAGTTTATCTCGATGGAAAGGTACTATCAAATTTGAAATTAGTGCTATTAGACTTGCTTGGGACTCGTATTTGTCATGCAATGCTTATATAGAAAGAAAGATAGCCATAGTTTGAACATGTATTTGATAAGAGTACTTTGATACTATTGATGGTTCGGGAATAATGTAGATGATCAATGTGGTTATGATGTTTTGTTAGTATTAAGAGTGTTGACTTCAGTGGATGTGGGGTTCGATAAACCAAGTATGTGTGCAATTATAATAAGGACTAAATTGGTGATTGTGGGTAGCTAGAAAATCAAAAAGATAGAGTCAGTTGAATGAAAATGTTTGATATGGGCATTATGGAAGGAGTATCTAGAATTATTCGACCTTCGTTATGTACATTCTTATGTGACCACCTACTTCATTCTGGGTGTGGGTTAGAGTATGATTCACTTTCTACGTATGTGTGTGTTTTGCTTCTATAGGTGAGTCCCTAGTAGTGGATCGGGTGTACCGATTCTGTGATTGTCCTCCTAGTAGGGTGGCATCCTTAGTTAGACTTGTCCATTCCAGTTATGGAAGATTTGGTGTTGTTTAGGATAGTTGAAATATACTAGTGATTCTACACGCACAACCCTGCTTATGAGAATTTAGAAGAGCTTCCATGAAAATTTACAATTGTTCGATAGACTTAAGAGTTATCTCATCATTGATATCCTGTTTTGGCTATGTGTGATTGAATGTGAGGACCATTGGGCCTAGTTTTGTCATTCTTAAAGTTTGTCTATAATAGCTACTAATAGAGCATTTCGACAGTGTTGTTAGAGATTCTACATCCTTGGGTGTATCACTCAATGGTGGGTACTTGATCATTTCCATCTTTGGATCAGATGAGTTCGATTCTCCTTGATGATTACTTGATGTCTAAAGATCATATTTTTATAGCTTAAGCTCGAAGAAATATTGTGTTGTGAGGCTGTAATCTTGATAAGATCTATGATGGTTTGTGCATTATGAGTGTGTGGTGGTTGGTTCAGGTTCACTTCTCATTGTAATCAATATTGATTAAGGACTATATCATGGTTATGTTAGAAAAGGATTTGTCCCGATAATTGTGTCAAAGTCTTTGAAAACATGTTGCAGACGAGTGTAAGATTAACTTTGGTGGTTATTGGGAATAGTTTTGTTGTTAGTTGAGTTCACATACAACAATAGTTATCATTCGAGTATTGAAATGACCCCATTTGAGGCACTGTGAGGGAGGAGGTATAGATCTCCAAATTGGTTGGTTTGATGGTTTTGAGATGAAAGTTTGGGTACTAATATTTCGAAGAATCGTTGAGACATGTACCCTTTCTTACCCTTGCCGTCTTTTGATCGTTCGAGGACGAACGATGGGTAAATTGGTATCTAATGTAACGACCCGTTTGGTCGTTTTGAGTACTAGAGCTTTTTTATTTCATAAAATACTTTCCGATAGATTTTAAATGGATACTTTGGACTATTCGTAACTACAATTATGAATTTAGTGGGGTAGTTTTAATAATTATTTTAGTTGGTGGTGAAAGGAGATATATTAAAATTAATAGTGGACCACTTTTACCGCTTTTATAAGTAGCTTCATATAATAATTAGGGTTTACTAATTTTGAGTGGTTAATTAAAAGAAAAGAGGGCTTGACTGTTGGGCATAAACGGTAATGGAAAAGGTCGATTCAGGTAACCTAACTTACGCTTTCAATTTGGTTTACATATAATTATCTCTTGGTGGCTGTATGATTAAAGCTCGGTGAATATATAACAATTAGAAACTATTTGATAATTAAGATTGGATAATAGATAGTAGCGTTAGGTTGGGTTGGAGGTGAAACTGTCAGGCAAGAATTTATATTATTATTATAATGTTAGAGGAAAGAGAATTGAGGTGTTGCATCCATATATGTGTGTATATTATATTTTAATGGAAAGTAACTAACTAATTACGTGATTGTGGTTGATATATTTTGGACAGAAATAGTGGATTGACCATGTAACTAAGGGAATCTTTGTACAAGGAATTAATGATGCTATTGATTAGAATAATGATGAGTTAAGAAGGGATAAAAAGGATGAATTGCTAGTCGGAAAAGTCATGCATATAATTCTGTGATTTCTGTCTTCGTTACTCTTGTTGTTTATGTTGGAATATCCAAATTCCTCTGTTGATCAGAATTACTAATGAATACAATCACCTTCAATTATCCATCATAAGCTATATGAGATGTTGTACGTACGGCCTGTGTGTTGGGTTGAAGTTTGATTGTAAGATATCATATAATAAATCAAGTTTTGATATGTTGAGATAGGTAATTAAATATTAGGTGTATCAAATTATTTAAATTCCATTAAAGATATGCTAAGGGGAGAAATTAAGACTTACCCATAGGTTTGAACTCTAGGAAATTGACTATAGAGTGGAATGAGTTATTGGGTCTAAGCTTGATGTATATAGTAATATGGGTGTCTATAGACTCGTTAACTTATGAATATTCATACTTGATAGATTGGGATCGTTCGAAGGCATTGGAAAAGTAGCTGTTTGATTTCGGTTCTTCGGTGGAGGTAGGTTATGGTTTATTCTATTTGATAGATAAACTCTTAATAGCGATTGATATGCATTGAATGATATTGTGAAGTTCTCTATGTACTTGACTGTGTGATTGTGTGGCTTGGTTGTGTGGTTTGCGATTGGTCTAAAATCCTGAGACCGTGAGATTTATAATCTGAAAACCTCTCTATCGAAGTGATGCCTTGAATAAAGAAGGCTTGATGTAATATTATTAATGAATTGAAAAGTGGTGATAATAAATGATAAATTAATAATATTATTGGATCGGAGTGTCACGACACGGTATTTTTGGATCGGAGTGTCACGTTCCGACACGGTATTTTTGGATCGGAGTGTCACGTTCCGACACGGTATAATTGGATCGGAGTGTCACGTTCCGACACGGTAACATTAAAGGAAAAAGATATTGAATTAACCTAATGTACTCAATCTCAATGAACGCATTTCCCAAACGAGTGTGATGTGGAGGCATGAGTCCTCGTGTGTGTGCTTGATATTGTGATTGATTACGTACTTGCTTTAACCGTCACTTGTTCATATTGTTGTTTCTTATCACCTGCTAAGTGCTATAGTTGACTTTATACTATTATTCATTGTATATTAGTTTCTATTTAGGGTTGGCCGATGATACCTACTCAGTACATGTTGCCCCGTACTGATCCCTACTTGTATTTTTCTTTGTTTTCCTTTTATGGAGTGCAGCGAGTGTACCAGCAAATTTGACTAGCCCTCAGCTAGCCAGTCTCAGCATATCAGGTTTAAGGGTGAGCTATGCATTCGAGCTTGTGTTGGATTCTCTCGGTCATGACTTGATGTCCATAGTTTTCGGACACAAATTGCGTTATTTCATTTATTTCGGTGTCTTTGATACTCTTAGACTTAGTATTTAGAGATTAGATGTCCTTGATGTGATGACTTTCAGATTTTGGGGATAATATGTAATAGACTTTAGAGGTTTATTTGATTGGTTATTTTAATAAGTTTTGGAGCTTCCGCGTTATTATTGTTATTCGTAGTTGAATTATTGGTATGTGTTGGGGTTTAAATTCATTGGTCTGCCCACTTGGAGGTTAAGTGTGGGTGCCACACACGACTCAATTTGGGTCGTGACATTAATAAATTGACCAACTTTACTATTTTGCCTTTTGTTCATACTCATTCTGTCTACTTTTAATTGTCATATTTCACTTTTCAAAAGTCAATTTGACTAATTTTTAAAGTTAAATTAGATTACATTAATTCGATATTTTAAACCAAAAATTTAGATATTAACTATAGGAAAAGTACTATAAATTCCAACTCAATAACATTCTATTTATTCTGTAAAATTATTATTTTTTGACAAGAACAAGAATGTTTTTTTAAAAAATCAGAACATTTAAACACTATAAATTATTTACAACACCAAAACTCTCATATACATAAAAATGTTTAAATATCCAAACCATAGGACAGTATTATCTAAATTTTTATTTACAAAACCTTTGAAAAGCAAAAGTCAAACAAACAAACAAACAGTATAATATTATCAATAAATACATAAATATAATAACTTATTATCTAATCCCAACTTCTAACTTAACTCATTTAGTCCTTCCATTTTTTTCGTGTTTCAATTTTCAACCCCTAACTTTACATTATTGCTCTTTATACACAAAAGTTATCAAACACTGGCCTTTTTGTAAGAAAGGCACTAGTATTTTTTTTAGTAATTGTAAGAACTAAAGTTGTATATTTTGTGTATATTAATTTTAGGACTTAATATTCTATAACTAGTCCTCCCATTGGGGATCTATGTGGAATTCCTTTTCTTCGTTTGGCCGTTCTGTAATTAACAGAAGTTGGAGGGGGTGTTGACGGAATAAAACTTTGCACCTTGTTGATGGTGGTACTTCTATATCGACCATGGTTGTTGTGGCTGTAAGTGTCATCGGAGTCCAATGCTATCGCCTTCAACCGCCTCTTTGCTAATAAGTCCCTCGGCTTCTTAATGAAGTTCTTTGAGGTCCCAATAACCTGCAAAAATAGAGTTGGTATCGACTATATAAGTCATTTTGTTCTATTTGGACCAATTCAATTCACATATGTTAATGAATGTCAAAGACATGTAATACTCAAGATTTGAGTGTCATTTCCAAATTCAAGTACAAAATAAATACAAAAAAGGGTCATTGACTTTTGGTTGCTTGAATTCTTCAAATATGATGTCAGACCCGTATCAGATCCTCAAAATGCTAAAAAAGGTTATTTTTGGAAGATTTGATATAGACGAGTGAGACAACAATTTTGGAGAATTCATGTATAATAATTGAAGTTTCAATTCCTAACAACTTTTGAAATTTCCATTTTTTTTTAAAAGTTGATTATTTATGCCAAAGTTTTCCTATCAATAGACCAATCAATGTGAGTGAAATTTCCATACCTACATTTAATACCAAACGACCATTAAACCAAAATATACCTTGAAATATACGCAATTCAAGATTCTTGGACACGCCCAATTCAATTCAATGCCATTAAAAAGTCAAATAAATGCAAGAAAATTTGGCAAAGGAAAAAAAGAGTTTCTCTAGAAGGGCATTGATGTCTTATGTTAAGATGGACGAAATCTTTTAAAATGTCAACGAGTGTGTGTCAAATCCTCCAAAAGTATCATATTTTTAAAGGACCTGACAACAAAAAATTGTCTGAACAACATAACCGTAAGGTGTATGTTGCATCCTCTGAAAAATGCAGCGTGTACGCGTCGGATCCTCCAAAAATATTGTATTTTAGAGAACCCAAGTATAACATTTTTGGAGAATTCGGCAGTTGTGTTGCATCCTCCACAAATTAAAATGCCATTAAGAGTTAAATAAATGCAAGAAAAATTGGTCAAGGGGAAAAAGAAGAATTTCTCTAGAAGGACATTGTTGTTTTATGTTACTATATTATTCAGACTCGTTAAAGATACTGTCCAGTATATCGAATCCTTCAAAAGTTATGCACTTCTAGATAATCTCACACATGTGAGATATCATTTTTTAAACATTCGAGTAATATTGATTCTATGCATTTTCAGACAATCTGACACATATATGGCATTATTTTTGAACAATTTGAGTAACGTAGATTTGAAGTACCTTGCAACCAAGAGAGCAAAAATTGAAGGAATCAAGAAGGGTCCTTTCACAAACTTGACATGTATTTGTGACACCTTTGCCTGGCCTAGGTTGTGGCCTTTCATTCAAAAAGACAATCTTAGCACTGTTGATAATGTATGTTTGGACTAAAGAAATGTCCAAATACTTTTGAATCTCATTCACCCTTATCACATCATGGTATGATGACCTCCTTATCTGTCCAACCAAAAAAAGCACCCAAAATCAATCATTTCATACTTTCTAAAAGAGTATAGTTCAGTGTACTAAATTCTCGCTATAAACAAAAGAAAATATGTACATATAAGAGGGTTCGATTAAATCCTCTTTGTCAAAAAGTTACAGAGTAAATATGTTAAAAAGTATACTTGAGTATTTATATAAATTGTTGAATTCCCTTAACAAAGGCAAATGAACCTCTAGTATTTTCGATGTACGACCATAAGTTTACTAGTAAAAAACTACTAAAATTGCAAAAAAACAGTATATCTCAACTCACAACTTTAGAAGTACAAAAGTTTTCAATGCTAAAAATCTAAAATGTTGAAATTTATAGTGCAAAGGCAAATGCAGGCACTAGCCCACGATAGAATTTCTGGCTCCGCCACTGTATACACTATGTAACCATTGAAAAACATATCACAACTAAAATGGTAAAAGAATAAAATAAGTTGCATTCATTAATGTTTGCATTAGAATAGATTGTCTACATCACACTCTTTAGAGTACGATCCTTTTTCAAACCCTACGTAAATACGGAATACTTTATTATAATTTATGAAATAAGATATACCTGAATGGCAATATGGTCTTTGTGATGAGATAAACAAAGAGAACAAAGAGGGCCATTAATACAATCAAGACAATACATATTGCATTCACTCTTATGAGAATCAATATGTAACTTGCATTGAACAAAAAATCTTTCTTTAAGCAATGGCTTTAACCATGGTGGCCAATTATTTTCTTCTTCATCAGGTCCTGTAGCACCCTATACCCAAAAAAAAAAAAAAATTAGAAAATTGTCAACAAAAAAATATAAAAAAATATTGAAGTTTGGTTAGTATTTGAAGATAGTTTTGAAGTTTGAAAAAACTAATAATTTTGACCAATTTTTGATGTGAAATTTCTTATCATTTATAAAATTTCAATTTTTTTCAAGCGAAATGCATGTCCAAATATACAACTTAATTTTCCGATAACATTTTTGAATTTCAACTTCAAAAACTTATTTTTTTTAAAAAGTTTCAATCAAACCTATGTCCAAACGCCTATGAAATCAATGAAATTGGATGAGTACACTTTTTTTCTACTCACAAGATTTACTTTTTTGAGAGGAATGCAGTCCAAACACAACTTCAATTTATTTATTTTTAAAATTTCAATCCAATCTATATCCAAACACCTAAATCAATGATAAGTGAATTTTTGAAAATGAGTTTTTTAAATTTGAAAAAACATTGAGTGAATTTTCTTTTTCCCTCACAAAATTTCAATTTTTCAAATAAAATGCATGTTTGACACAACTCTAGTTTTCATATAATGTTTCTACCATGCGTGAATTTAAATTAATCAACTTTAATGCAGATATCAGACACATCTATGAAAAAAAAAAACTAAACAAAACAAAAACAAGAACTTTTAGATACCATTTCTAAAAACTTAAACTTCAAAACTCTGTTTTCTCTTCAAATTTCAATCAAATTTATGTCTAAATGCCAATGAAATTGATAAAATAATGAAAAAGAGACAAAAGGGGTTTTTGGGATTTAGTTGAAATTTACCATAATTCTTCTGTTCTTGTGTTTGATTTCAAGGATTGTAGAATCTTGATTATCAATCGCCAGTTTGAAAGACTTCTTTATTTTCAGTACTAAATTTGAAGTTCTGTTTTTTCTTCTATTTTTAGAGAGAGAAAGGTGTGTTGATTTTTGGGACTTTAGGTGGTGAGAGAGAGAGAAAATGGAAGGGTACTTGTAGTGGGAGGGGGTGGGGGTGTGGTGTTAGGGTGGTGGAAAAAAATTATTTAATATTGTATTTTTTTTATAAAAAAAATGAAGGAAAAAAGTTTCTCATACAATAAAAATATATTTTTGGTTTTCCTTAGATATTTGATATTCGTATAATAGTCTAAAAGACAAATTTTAATTTTGAGAGTAACAGGAGTTTATTTAAACTTTTTTGAACTACATGGTATATGTAAGGTATTTTTAATTTCTTTTTATGTATATATACAGTTTTGAAATTAAAAAAAAATGTAGATTTTAAACCTCTATAACTTAAGATTAGAGATTGGCTTATGGTTGAGGAGAGTTCAAAATTCACCTTGAGAATTACTTTATTGGTTGATTTTGAATCTAGATTCACCACTGATTATAGCTTAATTGAATTTGAATTCGAATTAGTAAACTTCACATTGTATTCGAGACATTTTAAATCGTGCTAATGTTTATTGATTCGATCAAATTGAATTTTCATGATGTAAAATTTATTAAAGAGAGAACGAACCTCCATCTCTCCTTTTCATTTTCAATGTGTTCTTTTGTTCTTTTTTCATTTTAAATTTAAATATTTAATATTTGATATGATTAAAACTAATCTTCCATCGGGTAGGATTTATTAAGAGAGATACGACTCCATCTTTCCTTCAATTTTCCCGTCACTTTCAATGTGTTTGTTTTTAAAGTCTATTTGGTATTTAATGTCTGGTAATTGCTATATATTGATTCGATTTGAATTTGCATCTAAACTTTTTTAAAGAAAGAACGAACCTACATCTTCCTATTCAATTTCCCTATCATTTTCAATGTGTTTAATATCATTAGCTTATTTGGTGTTTGATATTTGGTATATATTGATTTAATATTTTCATCTAGGATGTATTAAAGAGAAAACGAACCTCCATTTCTTAGTGATCATTTTCAATTGTTACATATTATTCCTTTAAGGCATTCAATTCCTCCTTTTAAAGAAAATATATATTGTATTAGTTGTAGTTTCACAAAATAATCATGGCCTAATCTCTTTTTTTTTTTAAAAAAAACATATGATTATTTGGGTGGGGGGATTTCAATAGTGAGTTGGCATATTATTCTCTTTTTGTAAATTTGGTATCTTTACTCCATTATTGACCATTAAGAAGTTGTTAAAGTAGGCATATAGTATATAAAATATGAAGAACAAATATTCTTCGCAATCTTATATTAACCATTGTTTAAATTAGGAATATCTCTTCTAATTAATTACTTCATTTATTTTATCCTTTTCCTTGAAAGAAATTTCTAGTTTAGAGGACCATTACCTAACATTAGTTTTAGAAAAATGTATGAAAATATCAAATAAAATTGTCACCACTAATTAAATGCAATTGTTCAAATTGACATGTTTATTTGTTGAGCAAATTAATAACCACATATTTTATTTTATTTTCTGGTTTTAAAAGTTGGCCATTCGAATCAATTCTTTAGTTTAGGTCATTGATTAAGAAAATACTATATCTCCTTTTGTGACAGTTCAATCCACCTCATGAAAATAAAATATTTCAATCATTGGTGCAATTTGCTCATTTATTTAGCATGGAAAAATAATGGTCATCTTAATTAGAGTTATTAAATCTTAAGTATAATATCATTTTGGTCCTTCAATTATAAGTAAATTATAATTTTAGTTCATATGATATTTGACTAAGCATTAAAAAAAGCGAAAGGATTAATGCACTCTGTTGCTTCTCCTCCTTTCTTCTTACTTTTTTTCCGTGCCAAAAGTTAATTCAATTTTCGAAGAATTTGAATGGAATTTTGCAAATTCTTCTTGAATTGAAAGATCATTTTTGAGATCTTCGAACATATTTGAGGTTAAACCTTCAATTAGTTGGTGCATTTTTTTTATATCCATTTGCTTGTGGATATGCATAATTTTTTCATAAATATTAACAGTCTTCGTCACTTAATTATTCGTTACTTCAAATTTAAAGATATTATAATTCTATAAATAGTCAAATAACATATTTTCTACATAAATGAACGATAAAAAAATTAATTAATAAAAGATTAAATATCCCGAATCATATATCACAAAGGCAAAAATACAATTACAAATAACTTAGGGATCAACACTGCTATTATTCCTAAGAGATAAGGGATTAAATTTTTAAGGGAAAAAAACAATTGACTTAGAAAAACAATTGACCAAAAGTAGAATTACAAATAACTCATTCATGTCATGATTCATGATTGTATACTAAAATAAACTATTATGTAAATAGAATACCTTATAAATTACAAATATACACTAGCTTCTTGAAATATTTAATTTAACTAAAATTATGTAATCACTCACTTATCACCGAAGGATATGAGAGGATGGATAGAATTCTTAGTTAGAGTCTGGAGTTTGGTCTCTAAAAATTATGAATGCATTGAGTGTGAGAGGATAGATATAATTTTTAGCTAGAGTCTCGAGTTTGGACTCTGAAAATTATGAATATCTTGGTAGATATCATTTTTTCTATTTAATGAACTGTACTGTACGAATGACAAATTTAAATTAGTTTATACGTGTTTAGATGTCAATTATACATATTTATGGATAAGAAGAGATGGGAATGCCATTGTTAAATGAAGTAAGTGTTAGTTAGTTCCTTGCAAATGATATGAGCATATCATCTTGTTCAGTTTTTTTCTCTTTCTTTTTATTTACTCAAAAGATGACATAAGAATCTTTAGTTTTCTATTTATTAATTTATTATAATATTGGAAGGCTTATAATTTGTTAGTTATAGTCAATTTTTTCTCTAATAACATCATTTCTTTGGATATATTTTGACTGCAATAGAAATACAAATATAATATGAAAATCAGTTCTAGAAAACATATTCTTTATAGTAAAAAAAAAAATATTTTTATATAGAAAATGACGATTATAAAAAGGTCTGATTAGGATATATATGTTTTTTTTTGTTGCCAATTTCCAAGAGAATATTATTAGAGCTCAATAATTTGGGTGGCTTATCTAAAGTGACAACATAACAGAGTGGGAGAAGTACATTTAACATCATAAGCCAGATATTATCCAATAATGCATCAGCTTTTCTGATTCCATTTTTTTTTTAATAAAATAAATTTTAATAATAGGCTGGAGAAATCCACATTATATCATGTCATAATTGCTAAATCCAACATAAAGAGCACAAAATAGAGTGCTACAACTAATACGATAATATTATGTTATTGAATGTACCATATTAAACATAAATTTAAATTAGTCAGATTAATGAATTTAAATATCAGATAATATGTAACATCTCGCAAATTGAAAGAAACTAGAAAAGAGCTGGAATTAGAAAGAGTGATTTTTGGAAATAATAAAAATCTGGAAAATTGGTTAAGTTAAGTTTGAGTTTTTGGTCAACTTCAAACGACTATAACTCCTAGCTCAGGATTATTTAGGTGTATTTCCAGATATCGTAGGAAATATCCTGGAATAATCTTTCCAACACCGCCGAGTTTGCGCGATTCTGAGTTCGTATGAGTAGTTATGCCCATTGGAGGTTGGGATGTTCAAATAAGGAAAGTTCAATCCGGATTTTAGGACATTATGGTCTTTTCACCACCCAATTAAGTTAATTCGTTTTTAGCAATTAAATTGGGGTCTGAATTGGTTCAGTTTAGACTATTGAAAATTTACGCTAGGGTTTTTGGAGAAAGAACGCAAGAGGAGAAAAGAGGAGAAAGAGCAAAATTCGTCGTTCTTGAAGGTTTCGCTTGTGGATTTCAACAAGGGTTGATCCCTACAAGGTATGTGAGTCTTTCATAGCGTTGGGTTCGTTCACCCACGCGCCAATCATGTTATTTCAGTGAAGTTTGTTCTTGAAATTGGCCTTCGTTCTTGAGTTAGGTTGAGATTGAGGAGTTCCTTGAGATTAAAATGTTGTTTCATTGAGTTGTTTGATTTAGATTCTTGTGTATACATACTAGGTATCTGAATCTAAAGGCAATTCGAGAAAAAGAACCGAGTTTAGGGAATTGGGATTAGAAAATGAAGAAGGAACAAATCGGGCAGAAATTGGGTACTAGGTCCACGTCGCGGACCTTTTCCTCAGAAGTGTAACTTTCTCTTCGCGTCGCGGAGAGGTCACAGACCTCTTTGCCTCAAAAGTTATTTCGCAACCAAATATTTAAATGCGTCTCCGCGTGCGGACCTGCTTTCAGATAATGATTTCTTGATCATTTCTCATGTTTAGCTATCTAAAATCATTCCTAAACATCATGAGATCTTTCCTATCGTAAATCACCATCCTTGAATCCATAATTCAATTTAAGGAAAGTTAAGAGTCAAGTCAAAAGAAGTTCATAAAGTTTTCTAAAAGTCTTTTACAAATGTTGTAACTTTGTTTTAAGACTTGAGTTTTGAGTTTTGAGTTAAGTAAAGAGTAAAGTTTGAAGTTCATTTCTTCAAAAGAGTATATCGGGACTATGTATTCCCAAAGAGTAAATGTTTTCACATTTAAACAAGAAAGGAAACTGAGATTTCCAAAAGAGCCTTTGAACTATTTTTCAGTAAAGAGTAAGAGTAAAGTTCATTCTTCAAAGATTATACGGGAACTAAGTATTCCAAATAGTTAAAATGTTTTCACATTTGAGCAAGAAAGGAAATTGAGATTTTCAAGAGAGCTTTTAAGCTAAGTTTTTGAGTAATTATCTGAAACCAAAGAAAGAGTTTTGTTTTTACAAACATATGAGCTAAGTATATTTTGGGAGTAGTATTGAGCACCGATATGGGGACGAGTTTGAGTTCAGATAACTCATGTCTCCATAAACCATGTAGTCATCATGGGTAGCAAAGGATCATACTTTTTAGATGACTCCTTAAGATGTTTTTAGCATAGACTAGTGGATCCACTTAGTTAAGCGTTCTATATGACGGCAAAGTATATGACAGTTCTGGCAGCGTGGGCAAGACGATGTATCACTACTTAGGCTCATAGTGGTGGTTGTCGATTGGAGAAGCTCCTACATAAACTATATTACTTTATTATATGAGTAAAGTTGAGTTTGTTATTGCATTTTATTTAACGAACTAAATTATTTTCTACTGTTTTAAAAGCTTTCTATATATTGCATGTGTTTTATTGTTTATATTGAGTTAAGTTATTCAGGAGTTGAGCAAAGCCAATGTAAGTGTTTCTTTCATATTCTTTTCAAGCTTAAGTTATGTTTAGCATTCCAACTCGCATACTCGTACATTCAATGTACTGAGCCAATTGTCTTGCATCTTATTATGATGCAGACGCAGGTAATCAGGATCAGCATCCAATGCCTCGTTGATCCAGTTGAGCACTTAGAGTCAGTTGGTGAGCCTCCTAGCTTTCCGGAGGATCCTTTTTATTGCTTAGTATTTTAGTTCATTAGGATGTTGTGGGTCTTGTCCCGACGTCCATCTCAGTTGTTTAGAAGCTTCATAGACAGAGTTAGTGATTTTAGTTCATGAGTCTTTACTTTTTCCTTTTCAGTTAAGTTAAGACTTGAGTTGCCACTTTGACATTGAATGTTATTATAATACATTCTAAGTTATATTTTGAGCAGTTTAGTTTACTTGTTTTAAAAGTATTTATCTTGAGTAAAGTCTTCCGCTGATTAAGTAAACCAGACCAAGGGTTTGCTTGGGTCCAACAATGGTTTTCGAGTGCCAGCCACGTCCAGGGTGTAGGCTCGGAGCATGACATAATAAATATATCAAAATATTCTAATTTAATGACAACTTGAAGGAAAAAAGAAGAGGAATTATTTTTAAAATATTGGTTGTTAAAAGAAAGAAATTATTGCTAAGGAAAATCATATGGGAACTTTGGACTTTTTTTTCTCTCTTTTCTTAAATAAGTTAGCTACAATGACGCATTATTATTTA